AGCAGGAATTGGGTAATCCAGCTAGCCACCTTCAGAAGAGCTTGAAGCTGCCGGTGTCATATTCACCTGCCAGTGCCACCAGAAGTCTGCCTGCTGACTAGACTGCAGAGAAGCTGCTTGACTTCTTTCCCTGTTTGCCCATCTGTTAAATGGAATGAACACTTACATGCTTCTCAGGCATAGTGTCAATTGTATGACATCTCTGTATTATCCTGAAGTTCTGAAGAACAGGCATGCATATTTATAAGGGATTTAATGTCTTATGCTTCAGCGTATAAACTAACCTCTAATTAATAAGGTTCAAAAGCAGCTTCCCGTGGGGTAGTAAATTTCTCAAAGAAGCTTTCTTGTGTTTTCCTTTGCAGCCTTTGCTGTTGCCTACCATCATACTGATGGTGGAGTGAATGAATATATGATCTGAGCCAGTAACTCTTAGGTTCCTAGAAGACAGCACTGCGTGCCAATGAGTATACATCAATTCTCTTTGTAAGCTGCATTCCCAGAAGATCCAGGCCAAATAAAAGAACATGAATTAAAAGTGCAATGAAGGAAAGAAATACTTGTCTTTGTATTGGGCAAAAGAGTTACAGCTAACAGCCATGTGTGGCACAAAACACAGTGTTTTTGCCAACCGATTGTACAAAAAGCAGAGTGCAGGATTCCAGGTTGACCCTCTACTACCTAGCTCAGTTTTGCGATGCAGCTGTGCAGACTGTGTCCATTTGTTGTCAGAGAGCTGCCCTTTTCCAAATGGCTTCTTCTAAAGCTGCTCTGCTGTGCACGCTCACATGCACTTGGCTAGATTGCTATCTGGCAGTGGTCAGTGGTTCTTGACAGCTATGTGATGTTTACCCATGCATTTCTCAAAATCAAGAAGAATCATGAGGCAAGTACAAGCCATGATGTTTTCTTTAATACCTCCCATATCCACAGTCACTCTTCTGTGGTTGATTTTTGTCCAGCCTCTGTTGGGGAGCCAGTCCCGTGGCCTTTCACTTATTTCAGTATTTGTAATGCTGACATCAGCACTGCCAGATTTAGGCTGCCCTCAGAGGAGCAAGTGCAAGCACTTGGTTCATCGCTCTTGCAATCTAGTTAAGATTTATTGTGCCCCACATTAGTGTTAGTCAGCCATTGCTAAAGAGGTTTTATCCAACTTCACAATAGATGCTAGCAAAGGTGATGTACCTACACCAGAAGTGGTGTAAATGGCATCCTACTAACAGCGATTTAGGGAAAGTCTTCTCCAATGTTTACTGCTACTGACACATAGAGAACTATTTAAGTATTTTTTATTCAGACCTTTCCTTTATGAAATTCAGCTGTGCTTCTCTTGTTCTTTTTTTATTTCTCTTGTTCTTTATGGCTCTACAATCTAGCATCTCCACATTATCCCTTTGTTTCTCAGCCCACCTGCATTCTTCCTCCCCTTTCAGATTTACATCAGCTCTAACTTGTTTTAGACAAGCAAGTCCTCGGATTTCTTGGTTATAAGAGAGGATTGGTAGAAACTTGGAAAGGGAGGAGAAATAATCTCGCAGCTGCCTGGAAGCATCATTCTTAAAGCTCCAGAAAAAAGCTGTTGCTTCCTCTGGAAAGGCTCTTCTAGCTACAGTCAGTAGAGTCTCAGGTTCCCTAGGTAACCTGAATATTAATTATTATATTAGTATTCTTCAAAGGTTTTCCACTTAAAAGAAATGTTTCATTAGTGCAACAAATTACACAGTTCAATTGGGTGCAAGCTGTAATTGTTTTTTACACCTCCACAGCTCTTTGCTTTACAGACTTTTAAGCTTGATTTATTCTCATTTGGGCTATACACCCATGGTGGCAAATAATCTGCAGGTTTTCCAAATAGTTGCAACTCCTGTTTTTGCTGGAAGCTAATAAATAGCTAAAACAGCCCTCAAAATGACTGGGGGGGAGGGGAGGGAGAATATGGAGAAAGGCTGAGCAGATGCTGTGTGTCAGAGATGCCTCTGGGCATTGTATTTCTGGGCTATCGCGCTGATCTTGGAGCCTGGCAAAGCAACGCAACAGTTCTTCAGGAGTGGAATCACGCTGGAATAGCCCTGTGTTTCCCTGGGCCCCCTCCCCATGGAAATACCATTCCTGACAAACCTTATTTGCATCTGAAGGAGATTCCTAGGTGTACAATACAGTTTTAAAACCCCTGATGTTACACTGCAGTTTAGCTGGCACACTGCTCCACTCCACCAAAATATTTTTAACTTTTTTTTGAAAGAAAACATTACTACTTTCAAAAAAGAACCCTGGGTCTTGAAAAGAATAGTTAAAAGATCAACCCATTTTCCTGGTCCTGTAATTTCGCCTCCTGCTTTTTATTCCAGTTGACCTCTGTTACCCTTTTCCCACTTTAATATCTCATCTGAAAAGTGTGTGTTAAACAGTCTTTCAGATTATAAAATCCCACTCCTTCTTGAAGAGGTTTGTAGTGTGCTACACTCTAACATATATAACAGTATTGCTTAACACATCTGTGTACTGCAGTGAACCACAGTTGAAACACAAATAAAATATCTTGCAAGGTCAATTTATGCTTACATAAGCTCACACCACCACATAATCAATAGCTTTCCTAACACTAAACAGATCAA